TAGTTTAAATATTAGTTAAACGTGATCTTAAATACGTAATTTCTATTAACGCTCAGTTGCAGCCAAAGGGTCATTTTAGTTGCAAACGTTGACGGATCCATGAAGATATGTAACCATCAATTTCAAAAAATTAGTTGCGTTAGAACACTTTTCATATACTAAACTAACTGTTCGGTCTTAGGCGAAGCGCCATCTGTAGCAATTGTTGTGAACTGCTCAGTTTCTCTTGAACTCTTGTTTGAGCCAGTCGTGGCTTTCATTGTAATAGTGCAATGAATTTGGTTATTTACAATTGTTAAAATAAAATATTGTTTGTTGAAATTTTCGTATTTAATGAACCAGCGCACTGNCAACCTGATAATGCTCACTCTGGTTATTGTTATCTGGTTGCTCACTACGTGCTCTTGCGCGCCGAATCCAATCAATTAAAAATGAAAACTGTTGCCAGCGCGAGAAAAGAAATATCATCGGTTTTATTGATACATACATACATACGTACGTATTAGCGTTTTATATAATAAGATAGATTTATTCATGTTCGCATAAGCCAGTTTGTTATTACAAAACATTTTTTTTCGAATTTGTTCATTTAACTTTCAACTTTTTCAGCAGCGAATATTTAACTTAAGAAACGAGAAATTATCGAACACTTTAACCAAAGTGATTAATTATCGGTTTCTCATAATGACTAGTTTAAATATGAGTTAAATGTGGTTATTAAATATTAGTTAAATATTAACGCTCAGCAGCAGCTAAAGGGTCATTTTCGTTACTTGCATTAACGGATCCGTGAAGATATGTACCTATCAAATTCAAAAAATTAGTTGCGTTAGAACCCTGTTCTTATACTAAACTAACGTTAAAATTAGTTATCAGGATTCGCTACAAACTACTGTTTTTTTGCATCGCACTACTCACTACGCTACATTTTTCAAAAAGTAGCACACTACACTACAAATTAGGGAAAAAAATAGTAGTTTCACTATTTGTAGTGCGCTTTTTCCGACCACTGATCAAAAGCAATTATAGAATCTCTTCAATGGTTAATGTAGTAACATGATCTATAAAATATTGCAGATGTGTCATTTATCGCAACAAGTGTGACATTGTTTTCTTCTATATTTTATCTACAGTTAATTTTTGACCAAATTGAAATAAGAGAATTTTTTCGAATCATTTATAAAAAAAAATTATCTGAACAATCAAATGTTTTTTTTTCTGTGACAGATTCAAAATTGTTTTGAAAAGAAACAGAAAAAAAAAAAACACTTGCTTTGAAAAGAAAAAAAAAGACTCAACGTTAAATCTAAGTTAAAGTCATAACAATATAAGATCTTTAAAAGGTTTTCTTAACATTTATTCTACCATTTGTAAGAAATTCCCTCATTTAACCAGAGAAAGGTTCGCTCACCTCTTTTATTTTAATAAAAAGTCACTATCAATTAATTCATTCATTTGACTAGTTCCTATAGTTAATACCTGTCGCTACCCTGTTAGAAATTATACGGAAAAAGTTAAATAACAGTTTGTTTAATTGTAATTTTACTACATTTAAACAAAAGAGTGAAATAATCATGAATAAGATGGTATGTAAATTGTTAATTGTGAGAAAAAACTCCGATGAACTACTTTCACATTATACGGTTAAACATCCAAAATTTTATCGCACCCACCGAATGTAGCCACTTAGTTCTTTGCAGCTGGGTACATAATATAGACAAGGGGGCTGATCTATCAATCTCATGACCGACAGAACTAGAGTTCGAATTCGAATCCCAGCGTTGACACCATGATATTTGCTCTTGATAAACCACATCGTTACTCCAGAACGTATTACCTAACGAAAACCTTAGCTCCAACGTCTAGTTAATTTTTTTACTGATTTGAAACCATGCACGCTGTAAATGGTTAATAAAACGTATAGTTTTGTATTCACAGTTTTTTTAACCATTCTAGTTGTAATCGGTTTCAAAAACATAAAGGAAAAAACGTTATTTACAGTAAACTTTGCGGGTGCAGATTGCTGCCGATTATTTTATCATAATATTATTATGAACAGTATATCAATTAATCATAAAGTAGAAAACATTCTCTTACATCTTTGCAGCAATTACGAAAATGTAATAAAAATTATTACCATCATGAAATTTTTTTATTTCTTTTCGGAAAAGCAAGAACTATTATGTTTGCAGCTGACATTTTAGGAGAAGGAAATATTCTTCTGCAGATTTATTAATAGAGATATGGAACTAAAGTCATATAAACGCATCATCATATATTTTTATGAAATATTTGTTTCATGTAATTTGAGAGAGCAGTTGGCATGCCACCATAGCTCAGTGGTTAGAGCACTGGTCTCGTAAACCAGGGGTCGTGAGTTCAAACCTCACTGGTGGCTGAATATTTAAACCGTTAGTTTTAAATATTTGGTTTTTTTTATTGCCTAGCATAAATTTTCTGTGAAAGAAATTCTAGTCTAATTTTTATTATTTTGATATTCGCTTGCAAAAAACATGCATAAAAACTAATTTCGAAATATATCATAATGTTCTTTTAACTTTCAACAACTTACATTTTTTTCTGGCAAATGGTGGGTAAAATTTATTTTTCCTTTTCTGTTTAACATTTGAGTTTTNTTTTTTTTTTTTTTTTTTTTTTGTTTTTTTTTGTTTTTGTTTGTTAGTTTCTATTATCTATCACGGAGGTTCCCAATTTCTTTCCTGTACGGAACCCTAAATAGTCAACCCTCTTTTGGAGGAAACCCCCCTCGATTTTATAAAACTTATAAGGACAGTGTGTAAACGTATTAACTAATAAAAGACTGCTTTATTTTAAAAATATTTAATTGAAGAAATAAAATGTTTTTTTAGTCTTATCATTAATAATTTTCATTTAGGTTTTATGTCTGGAAGTTGAATTTGAAGTCCTGAAGCTGAATGTAATCTAATACGGAATTTGTTTTTGATGTCTAAGCATAAGTATAAAGCAAACGAATCATGGTTTTCGTTGGAAAAAAAATGCCACAAAAAATGCTGAAATGAGATGCTAGGCCAAAAATAGTTATAAGGCAGCATAATTCCTCTTTAATGAATTTAATTGTCTTATTTTGATTAAAAAAAGCTACCTGCGAAATACTCAAGCATTTTTTTTAATATATGCATGCATTTTTTCGTAATTTATTTAGTACCATGCTAAAGAAAAATTGTTTTTTTTTTTTTTGAAAAAACGCTATTTCCTTTTTATTTTCATTTTTCTTTAAGTAACCTTAAAAAGTTTGATGGGGTATAAATAGTTAGTAAATTTATAATAAGTTGGACAGAATCCAAATAATTTTTATAACTGAGCATTAATTATGGATATTTTTAAAACAAGGAAAGTTAAAAGAGTTGACATTTTAAAACAAACTTATGTACACAGACGCCATCAATTAATCATCCGAAACAAGCCAATAGGTTTTTTTTTTTCATTAGTAAAATGTAATTCTGAGTTGGTACGCAAAATATAACTTAACTACTATTTTCGACACAATCCAAGTCCCCGGTTTCTTCCCACTACTTTATTTCTCCAGGAAACAAGGTAGATATGAAATAGTGTTACTACCAACTTTTTCCCTTCTCAGAGGCACAGTCAGAGCTAAAATTACAAAGTTTAATTTCTAAAATTAAAATGGAAGATTTAGATTTTTATAGTATGTGTGTGTGAGAGAGAGAGAGTTAAAGCTATGACGTTGCATAACATTCAAGTTTATTTTTTTTTGGCAAAAAAAAAAGGAAATTAAGTTTCTTGATAATCAAAAATAGGTTTTTATGTTTTTTTTAAACTAATTGAAAAAGTCGGAATTTAACACGATAAACTTTGTATAAAATCTGTATTTTTAATAGTCGTGTGATTAAAAACTTTTTGGTTGAAGATTCTTACCCACTTGGATAAAATTAAAAACTGTTATCAGCTGTACTTTGTAAAACTGTTCTTTTTTTTCTTCCTAATCTTGAAATTTTATTAGTTTTTACTTTGATTTTTTAATTTAATTATAAAAAGTGGAAAAAACTTGGAATTGAAATTTATTCAATTAATTTCATCAAATTAATCATCAATTAATGCATCAAAAAGTATCAAATTAAAGTAATTTTTTATGCAATAATTCGCTTAGGTGTAAAAAAGTGTTAAATGTGTTTTGCATAGGACAAATGAGTTTGACTGTATGAAAAAATATTTTTAATCGCTCAAAAACTTTAATGCAGTACAAATAAATAAGGCTTAAAATATTAAACACATATATTATCCACCAATAGCAGGGATGCCAACTGCTCCAATTTCTGCCCATGGGTGAAAGCCTTTATATAGCAAGACGGAAAAGAGAAAAACCTGGTACGTAAAACATTTCATTCCAGCATTTTTTTCGAAAAAAATGAAATATCTCTAACTACCAAGATTTCTTTTATAATTCTGGCATATATATAAAACTGCTTCTTTTCCTAGATAAAGATTTGTTAAAGCCAATAGTCACCGTCGCCCTAGGGCCCATTTTCGATGAAGAAGTGAGGTGCCCGCATCCGCGGGCAGGTACTTCGTCAAACCACCTATCCAAGTCCAAGTCCTAGATAAAGTAGATATTGTTGAAAAATTTAAAAAAAGAGTAAGTAAACTCCTCCCCAAAACTAGCTATAACTGAAATGGTTTTACTACCAGCCTTTCCTCTTTTCCGTCTCGCTTTCACCCCTGTTTCTGCCCAAGTTTTCACAAATTGGCAGTGAATTAAATAAGAAAACTACTCGAACAAGGATAATTACGCCTACTCTTTAAAAATGTTATTACTGCTATAGAGTTGCATTTCTTATAAATCTTAGATTGTTTGATGCGTAGTGGTGAAAAAAATTATTTAAATCGAAAAATACTAAATCAAAAAATATTATAAATTTTGTAACCATTCAAATATTTTTCTTTTCAAAGCTGATCAAGCTGGCACCTCCGCATTGACAATGTCGCTTTTTGAACTGACCAATTCCAAATTGAAGCTTTAGGTTTCATTATCCTATGGAATGGAATGTCTATATTTTTTGAAGTTTTGGGTAAACTATAATATGCGACATATCATTCATATTTCCTATAAATTAAATTTCTTGGTAAATAAGAACAAATTAAAATAACTTTATTTTCTCATTTTTACAATCCCTTTAATCGTGGCACACCTGAAGACTGGATTATTTATCTATTTGTGACGCTGTTTTTATTCTAGTTTAAGCAAAGAAATGTCCGGTCACTTGGCTCTTGTTTTCCGGATGTGACCGCCTGGCGAGACGTGAAATATGTGACATATCGACTTTACATTCTATAGGCTTTTGCAGTCATTCATATTTCCTATAAGTTAATTTTTTTTGTTAATAAGAATAAAAAATAACTAGATTTTCTCATTTTTACCATCCCTTTAATCGAAGCACATCTGAAGACTGGATTATTTATCTATTTGTGATGCTGTTTTTATTCTAGTTTAAGAGCAGAGAAATGTCCGGTCAATTTTGTACTTTATTTCCGGATGTGACGTGATCTGGCGCGAAGCTGAATTGGCTAAGTTGAAATTTCAAATCACTAATTCAATGTCCTGGAGTTCTTAGAGTCTTGTTTTTTGGTATTAACTTTTATCAACTCCCTTGAAAAATATGTTCTATTCATTCACTGCTTTATCAATAAAAAATTACTCTCCCCCCTTCAATCACATTTTCAAAATTTTACAACCTAGTTCGTATTTCCTGTTTTGATGTGTTATCATTCTTGAAATCTTCCTTCTCACTGTCCCACTTTTGGTCTTCAGCAGATGCAAACATCGCATAAAATCCTCCGCCAAATACGTACATGACTGCAGTGGTGTAAAATATTTTACTCCAGTTTGACAAACTTGCCTGAAAGAAAAAAAAACACGACTTCAGTAATGAATAATAATTTCACAAAACGTGTGCTAATCTCTCTTAATTAATACAGATTTTCAGTTAGTTGCTACATTAACGTTTTTTCATTGACAGCAGAAGTCCAGTTGTAAGGGACTCCGGTCTGGAGGTGCCGGGGTTTGATCCTCGACTCCGCTAAGACCGTGTACATGCGATATACGTGATCGTATGGAATCTGTGGTCGGTCAATGAGAAATTCCTTCCCCTTTAGACCTATGTCTAAATTAAGGAAGTAGCCTACCGAAATCAGGCCTGACAATTACTGCGCTTTTTGAAAAATATTTTATAGAGTAGTAGATGATTAAAAACTGAAGCTTTCAGAAATTGTAGTAATTTTGGCAAAATTTTAAAAGCTTCGCCACTAAAGATCTGCAACAAAGTGGCATTGCATATGAACTTTTAAATCATTTATATGTAGTGACATGGAAAATAAATTTAACTGAATAAAAAAATATTATATTGAAACTTATAAACTTAGCTACCACAAGAATAAAATTTTACGTAAAGCGTAGAAAGTTGTTGCTGTTGTTCATTTACGTCGCACTAGAGCTGCACAATGGGCTATTGGCGACGGTCTGGGAAACATCCCTGAGGATGATCCGAAGACATGCCATCACAATTTTGATCCTCTGCAGAGGGGATGGCACCCCCGCTTCGGTAGCCCGACGACCTGCACGCGAAGTCGAGCACTTTACGGTAGAACAGTTTAACGAGGACCAATACCGCACACCCTTGGTCACTACGCAGACTGATCCAAGTGGCCACCCACCCGCTCACTAACCGCAGCCAGTGATGCTTGACTTCGGTGATCTGCTGGGAACCGTGTCTTAACGATCAGTCCACTGCGGGACCGTAGAAAGTTGGAAACACTGTAAATTGTGATGGCATGTCTACGGATCACCCCCAGAAATGTTTCTTAAACCGTTGCCAATAGCCCATTGGACAGCCCTAGTTGAAAGTAAATACATTACCCACCATAGATAGCAGAAATTATTTCTTTAGTTATTGTTACATATACTTAAGGTTGTATTTTAATAAGAAAGGCAGCTTAGGCTCTAGCCAAGTTGAAGAACAGATTGCACGAATTATAGAAGGGCATCCAAAAATACATCAAGGCTTTCGGCGGGTTTCGAACCCAGTACCTCCACTCAAAAGAACGTTTAAAGACCTCCCATGCCAAGTGCTCCTGAATTCGATAATTGCTCATTAGCGTGAGGGTTGCGGGTTCGAGTTCCACTGCAATACAGGATGCAACCTTCTGATACCCATTTCTAATTTGTTGTACAGGTACTTAAATTTGATCAGAGCTTATAAGCAGTCTTTGCATGGAGCATAGTCATATTTTGTTTAACCATAAATAAACAATTTCGTTTAACACGTTGAATGCCATGGGGGTCATCAGTAACCGGCACTGAGTTTGTTCGTAGTGCCACGGGGGTCACCGGTGACCGGCGAAGCCAAGATTATGCAAACAAACAATGGGTTGAGTTCAAAATTACAACTGAGCTGTAATTTTGAATAATTTTGAGTACCTACAGAGTTGAGCCTTATTAGCCGTAAACTAAATTTAGGGTCGACTATTAAACGATGGTTATAATAGTATTAATAATACTATTATATATTTTATTAAGGAGCGAAGTATTAGCTAAATAAAAAGTAAAATTTAACAAAAAATTTGATATGCAATATGCACACCTCGTTGCACGATATATTATTCAGTGGCTTCACCCTCACAGCTGAGTGAACTGCCGTAGCAATAGGGTTAGAAGTTCAGAACCTGAGGAGGTCGTTTATAATTAGATAATAAAAATGTGGGTTATCACATCTTAATCCGATGTTTTCATTCAATTCTGCGATTTGTTTTAACGTGAACATGATCAGTCTTGTATTACAAACCGGGTGCTGCGCAGAACAAAATACAAATTTGGTGACTATTTTGTTATGAAATATAGTGAAAAATCAACTAGTAAACAGTAGTAATTTACTTGCGTCTAGACTCAAGTACATTCTGTATTATTACAAATATGTTTTGGTAGTTAAGAATGTGTTTTTTTAACTTGAGAAGAAATATAATGCAGTTGTTTTATTACCTTTCTCTTCGTTTTTGCGTCCGTTTCTCTTTGCATCACTGAACAAACTAAATGTATAGTTATGTTAACATAATGTTGATCGTAAATGTCCTTCGATAACCGAATGTAATTGACGAAGTGAATTATACTATCTTATTATAGTTATTCGTTAGTTTATCGTTTGATTTCGTTCCAGGGATGCTAACATTTTACGCTTTCTGTAAGGATTTATTCCAGTGGTATTTTTTCATTAACAATGGTGAAATAAATTACATGAATTGTCCATGAATAACAATGTTTTCGTGATAAAAACTTGTGTTGCATGTATAGTTGCGCATTTTAGTGAATATTAGATTAAAAGTAAGTACAGAATTGATGTTTTAATCTTAATTATTGACTGTTTAATGTTAGGTCTGGGGTCAATGGGATTTGTCTTCTTGGATTGAAGATTGCAGTATTTGGGTTACTGTTATTGAAATTTGGGTTTTTAAGTTACGTTACTTTTACTTTTATTTTATTTTCTTCTCTTTATCACACTTACATAAGTCACATTAGTCACACTCACATAAATGAATTATTTTAACTTATAAATTATTATTAAAATTTGGGCTATTAAGTTACGTATTTCTTTTTTTTTCTCTTTATGTTTACATAGTCGCACTTACATAAATGAATTATTTTAACCTATAATTTTATCATTTTACAAAAGTCCAATTTTAAAGTTTCATTAAGCAAAATGAACAAAAATGTTAAGTACATTAATTAGGGGCTATGTTTTTGACAACATTTACAAGTTTTGAAACATTTGTCCACTCAAAACTTTCATTTTATCTCTCATAACTAGAAACAAGACAAAAAATAATAAAAATTGTTTCATCTAAACGTGTTTTAAATATCCCACAATCGCTTTAAAATTTCGGTTTCTAATTAATCGACAATATATTACAATTTGAGCTGATCTCCGCATGGTAAAATACGAATATAATATGAGGAAAACGACAGTTGCTTTAAAGGTTGAGGTTGTTTAAACGGTTTTATTAAGCTTTTACAAAAGTTCCTTTAGAAGGTTTCAAAGGTCGTATTATCCACGAGATAGTTCGTTAAACACAAAAAGGTTTAAGCTGACATCTTTGCTGTGAGAACCGGACTGAAATGGAAGAAATTAAACGATAGAAAGTAAGAAACGACGTTTTTACGTTTAATTGAATGAGACCAGTCCAAGTCAAGTCGATAAATGTAACTGAATCAAAAGTTAAAAAGTATTATGTGAAAAAAGGTACAATTTTCGACTAATTTATGTCTGACATTGCCGTCTAAGAAAAAGCATCTATAGTTTCCTATGCCATCGTTTTTACGCTAAACTAAGACCAAAAACAAAATCAATGAACTAATAGTTAGAAAGCTATAAATATATTATACATCAGTCCGTAATTTAATAATTCTAATATTTTAAAATTTTCATTTTTGTTTCATTTGATGCAGTATAACAATAACAAGGAATGCATTTAGGAATAATAACTAAAAATAAAAAACATTAACACAGCTTGATGCAGATTTATACTTACACCATTTGCTACGAAAGCACCCACTATCAATGGTCCGATAATTCCGGTTAAGTTTGAAAATGCGTTGGTTATTGCATAAAAAGTTGCTGCAAAGAAAAAGGAAACAGATATATCAAAATTTCGTGTACCAAAGTCGGATAAACAAATAGAAGATAAAACTGCGATTCATAAAAATCCATCTTCTGTACTTTAACTCATTTTTGCATAACGTTAAAACGATATAACGGATAATAACATTAATGCTGCTAAGATTAATTTTGAAGAACCAGTGAAGCTTTCTTCACAATATTTCTAGTCTGAAAGTTTTTTTAATTTTGTTAATTTGGATCAATTTTATGCAGTAATTTGGTATGAAGTAATTAAAGTGGTAGCTAATAGAAAAAATTATCCACTTGGTATAAACAAATATCGTCTACCACTTTCTTAATTTGTTTTTCATATATAAACCGAGTTTTATATCTAGACATAAATACGAGGTGCAACTTTATCTAAAATACAAAATATTTAATTTTCTTTTCACTCCAGTTTGCTTTCCAATTACCAGTAAGAGCCACCTTAAAGATTAAATTTCAAGAAAGGGTCACCTCAGTCACCTCATAAATTTTGATGATAATGATGCATAAATGAGCTCAGCTATCTAGAAATGGTTTTTCCTAGTGCTAGAAAATTTATGTCAATTCTTGGTTCAGTAAGTTAGATTAACATTTGTGTAGCCCTCCACAGCAATTAAATGACTCCACTAATGAGTCCATTGACTCCACTGACATTTAAATGACTCCACTTCTTAGTTTGTCTGCACAATTCATATCATTCGTCACTTTGTTAGACTCATTAAGGTAGACTCAGAGATCTGAAAATCCCCACACTAACAGAATATATTTACAGATTAAAATATATTTACAGAATTATTAACAGATTAATATTCACATCACAAGCCACTTCTTCAGCCACTTGCTACTCATTTTTGCTGTGATGCCTCAAATTACCAAAACTGCTAATATATACTCTTCTCCTTCTGCAACAAAAAACACGAAATTAAATATTCATCAAAGTACACATCTGCACCAGGCCTCCTCGCTGATCATCTCAATTTATTTCATTGCTCACTTGCTCGGACATCTTAAAGCAAGACTGATGCTTTCTTTCACCTCATTTATTGTTTACCGAGCAAGGTGCTTGCCTTACCACTAAGCAACCTCACCAACTGCGAACCACATTGCTTCCTCATCATCGTTTATCACGTTGAATGCCATGGGGGTCATCAGTGACTGGCACTGAGTTTGTTCGTAGCGCCACGGGGGTCACCGGTGACCGGCGAAGCCAAGATTATTAGAAGCACATAATTCGAATATTGATATTATTGTCGTTTCTAAAATGGTTTGAAGAAATTAATGCAATATAGAACACACAAAAATAGTTTTATTTATTTACAAAGGATGCCATATTACTCTGGATATCAAATAAATATTTTCAAGTGGTAGTTTATCAATTGTGATTCTTGGTTTAATAAATTCAATGTAGTAGAGTTTTATCCACCACTATTTCTAAACAATTCGTAGGGTTATATAATTCACCACTTTATTTTCCAATATATCATGCTAAACTTTTTAAAAACTAACAAAATCTATTTAATATTTTCAAATTTAGTATGTAGTTATTTACCGTCTTGCCAGACGGGCAAGCCATGTATAATTAGCGCGGCATTCAACGTGTTAAATACATCATGGATGGAACAAAGTCCGCTGCGAGACCCCAAGTGAAAGTCAGGCTAGGACTAGAATCATTTAGCGTATGGCCTGTGATTCCAGTCCTAGTATTGGCAAAATGAAACAGAATAATGAAATTTTTAGTTTTGACTTCCTTTCCACTTTATTAAATTTTTTTGGCAGAAAGCATATCAGTTGGTATCCCTGTAAATGATAGCAGTGATTTACGTAAGGGAATATTCAACATCTTAATAAACCTATAAAACTCTCTCCTCTTAACGTATTGCATTTTCATAAAATAGTTTATCGTTAGGTGAATATTAAAAATTTTGTTTCTATGGAAACCAGTTAAGAACTTTAAATAATTAAACAAAATTTTAAGGAAACAGGTAAAAGAATTTAAAGTTAACTTTTATAAAATGCAAAGGAATCTCCATTACTTTTCTCAAAAATATTAGGGTTGAGATCTAAAAGTGTAAATCTGACACTAAAAAACTTATGAAAATCTATCAGGTATTAGAACTAAAGAGAAATAATGCAGGGGTATAATAAATAGTTTGATAGATAATAAATCGTTACCTGGATTAGACGGACACATATCAACATGTGTCACATTGAAGCCTGAAAATATGCAGCCATTAAGAGTCATTGCGACACAGAGCAAAACAACTATAAGTTTAGTTCTACACCCAGACAAGGTAATTCCAATCAAACATATTGCAGGCCCGAACATGCCTAAAAATATTATTAGTGGTATTAAATTTTACTGTTAAATAATAAATAATGGCACAAGTTTGTATTAAAATTATCTTAACCAACATAATAAAATTTAGCTTTTAAATTGTTAATCATCATTTATGTTAATCTCATCGAGTCATTCAAATCTTTGGTCATTTTTGGGATACAGGTATAAAACATGAAAATATTCATTAAAGATAGCAAATACCAATTTTAAATAAAGTTGACAAAAGTAGAAATGATTTTTAATTACCTATACAATTCAGGATTTTTCGAATTGTAGTAATACTCAACTTATTTGATTTTCGTAATTCATCCGCAACAAAAGATGCTACAAATGCACTTAGGGCTTGACATATAAAGGGTAGGGCAGACAAAATACCATTCTAGAAAAATTAAAAGGATGATCATTATTACAACGGGCTTTAAGGAATAATATGAAAATAAAGGGTAACAATAATATGATGAATTTTAATCATAATAGATTTCCGACTACACAATACATAATGCAATTCAAATAAAATACATCTTTAGTATGTTTAAAAAAAACTATTGATCAATATAATTCAAAATAACAAATAAATATCTAAAAAAAGATAATCCTATTAATTTTATAGTGAATTAACTGCACCTGCTGATTTTTTTAGGTCACGTGTATGATTCAGTTACAAATATAATTATTTCGAAGAACAATTAAGCTATCTNCTATAACACATCTGCAGCAGAACTGGATATGAAGACAAAATTGCTGGACAGGAACACTTTAATTGTCCCCTGATCTTCAGATTTCCTGCTATGTTTTAAAAAACTTTATTTGTGAAAACCTTCAGCGTGGCGGACAGCTGGCCGCCTTAGGCGGCTAGTTATGAAATAAATGCATTTTATTAAGAATCTGCTGAATCCACGTGATTTATAGGTTCATTTAACAGAACATCTATAAATGTATTTTCTCGCTTGTGAATGTATGCAATAAGCTTAAGATTTTCCCCTGTGTAATATTCTCATATATTTAACTTTGACGCAACAAGCAATCGTAAACAAGAATATATATACAGGGTGTCCCAAAAGGTCGTTTACAAACTTAACATGCTGGTCTGTCATATCATGATATAGGTAGTTTGAGAGTTTTATTTGTAAAGTTTTCGCTCTCACCTGTAAACAATTATAAATGCAACCTAATTTATTCTTGACCCGAAAAGTTCTCCTCAGAGAAATTTATTTCATTGTCAGTAGGTAATTATTTTCTAAGTTGAATATGAAAGCACAAAAAGTAAGGAGGCTAACGTCTATCTATCATAGAAAACTAGAAATTTTTTTTTCATGAAATTTATGTTTTGAAGCGAGAAATGAAGATGATTGCCAAAAAAATAATGGGAGTTGGGAAGTAATAGAAAAATAGTATCAAGAAATAAATGAATGCATGCATTAAAAATATTGAACATCTAACAAATACGAAAATTAATTCTTCTTGAGGATCTCTTTTTAACTGCCTGTGAAATGATTTTTCAAATTTTCCATTATTGATACGTATCATTCTAAAAAATGCATTATACTTTGATATAAATTTGACAAAATCGCATTATATTAGAAAACTGATCATTTATTAGATTAGACGGTATTATTTTATGAACAGTAACATAAAGAACATAAAAGAGAAACCGCTCTTTTGATATAATATTTAGCATGGTAATGATTTTTTTTTGTAACACATACACATCTCTTGGTACACGTACACATCACGACGCCGTTTGCTTGATAGCTCAATTTTCCGACAGGTTTGTTTGTCTGACAACTCAGCAAGAACTCCGGTCAACAAAAATTATAGAAAATCTTGACTGATTGTCAAGTATAGTTTCTCTCAAGATTGCATAATAATATGACTGAATAACTGAGAAGTTATCATAATCAAGTAGCGAAAAGTGAAATAAAAAAATATTTGAAAAACACAAAATAAATACGTAAATAAATGTATAAATAAAATAGAAAAATTAAAAAATAAATTTAAAAAAGTTTAAAAAAATGAATGGAATAAAATAAAAAATTCAAAAAAAGGAATTTTAAAAAGAAAAAGAATAAAAAATTAAACCATAAAATAGAGAAGAAAAAAAAAACATTTAATGCTGCTATGAATCTTGCAATCTTTGAATCTTTTACTAGAAAACAGAGGGAAATGTTACTATCCCCATAAACAGTCAATAAATTGCCCTTTAATTTTTTTGCCATAAGTAGCCCAGCACTATAGAAAAAGTAAGAAACATTTCACTTTCGTTGTAGAAAATCCATGCATATATTCTTACATTCTAAGCATATTCATACATCCATGCAGATTCTTACATTCTTCATGCATATTACCTTACGTTTGCACTGGTGGTCAAATGTGTAAGAAATTAAGAGAATTTGCAGACTCGGTTGATTATCTTTAGTACTACTGGATCGATTTTAATGAAATTTGATATGAACATTCATTGATACGATTTAAAACAAATAACCATAGAACAATTGTATTATACACGCATGATCGTGTGCAACACTCGTTGGAGTTGCACGATAAGAAACAACGATTGTAGAATAAACAAAAAAAAAGGGTTTATAGGGGTTATGATTCCCTCTAACAGATATACTATACAGGCCTTGCTGCGTGATTTCATACTTGAAATAAGGCAGTTTATCAATTCCTGAGGTAATTGGCCTGAATTGTCGTGTGGCAATTTCATACCTTCCGACTCCAATGAGTTTTACGCACGATTAGGCGTGTGTATTACAATTGTTGAATGATTATTTGTTTTGTATTGTATCATAACAGATCAAATTTCATTATAATCTGTGCAGTAGTTCTAGAGAAAATCGACCAAGTCTGCAAATTCTCTTAATCTCTTACACCAGTGTTCTTGTCAAGCAAATGATCTATCAGGAAAACGAAGCTGAACATTTGGTTTGCCAGGCTCAAACTACTACTCAAACTCTACTCAAAGCTTCTTGCAGATTTCGAACGCTTCTTGCAGATTTCGAATTTTTTTTAAAACGCTTCAGCAAAAATNATAACATTCTCCGATGCAGACAGCTATTTCATCAGTACATTGTTGATATGTATGTAAAAATCGAAAGTGAGAGATTGCGTTATATAAAATTTAATCAAGCGAAACTTCGTTCTGAGGAGTACATTCATTTGCGTGACGCCATAATCGGTAACGTAGATGCAACGAATGATATCAACAACATCGGTACCACATATATTCTTCCATCATCATTCATTGGTAGTCCGCGTCATGTGCAAGAATATATTCAAGACGCCATGACTTACGTACGCGCATACGGCCGACCAGATCTTTTTATCACATTTACGTGCAATCCAAACTGGGATGAAATTAAAAATTTGCTGTTATCAGGTCAAACATCGATGCATCGCCATGATATCATTGCACGTGTGTTCAAACAAAAATTGAAATCGCTGATGAAATTGATTACACATCACTCGGTATTTGGTGAAACACAATGTTGGCTTTATTCTGTTGAATGGCAAAAACGAGGTTTACCTCATGCGCATATTTTGATTTGGTTGGTGGACAAAGTACGCCCAGAAGAAATTGACAAAATTATTTCAGCGGAAATTCCAAATACGAATGTTGATCAAGAATTGTTTGACATTGTGACTACTAATATGATCCATGGTCCATGTGGGTCTCTCAACATGACGTCACCATGTATGGATAATGGAAAATATACGAAACGTTTTCCTAAACCATGTCAAACAGACACTATCACCAATATCGATGGTTATCCATCTTACCGTCGTAGAGATGTAGACAATGGCGGTCAATCGTATGAATTGCGTCTATCAAACGGTGTAAGAGTTGAGATCGATAATCGCTGGGTGGTTCCATACTCACCATTGCTGTGCAAAACCTATAAAGCACACATAAACGTTGAGTTATGCAGTTCGGTGAAGTCTATCAAGTACATTTTTAAGTACGTTCATAAGGGCAGTGATAAAGCTATATTTGCTGTTCAAAATGTAAATAAGAATGACGAAATAACACATTATCAAATGGGACGATACATAAGTAGTAATGAAGCCATTTGGCGAATTTCCTATACATGAAAGGGATCCTGCTGTTGTACGTTTGGCTGTGCATCTTGAAAATGGACAGCGTGTTTATTTCACAGAACAGAATGCACTACAACAAGCTTTAACAGCTCCAAAAACAACTCTTACTGCATTTTTCAACCTTTGTAATCGACAAGATATTGTTGGTGAATTTGCAAAGACATTAATGTATACTGATGTTCCTAAATTTTTTACATGGAATAAGCAATCAAAAAGTTGGGAACCACGGAAACGAGGCACTCCAGTCCCAGGATTTGCCGACATAGTTATGACAAATTCTTTAGTACGATTATATACAGTTCATCCTAAGCAACGCGAGTGCTTTTTTTTGCGTTTGTTATTGGTTAACGTTCCTGGACCGACATCTTTCCAATACTTGCGAAAAGTCAACGGTACTTTATACGGCACTTTCTTTGATGCGTGTCGTGAGTTACATTTATTGGAAGATGATAACCATTGGGACCTCACACTTGCATATGCAGCACTGAGCTCATCTCCATAGCAAATTCGTCAATTATTTTCAATAATATTGACAGCGTGTTTTCCGTCCTAAGCATCTGCTCTGTGGAATAAATATTAAAACTCAATGAGTGAGGATATTTTTCATCGGATTAGAATTACTAATCAAAATCTCAGTATGGAATTCTCCGCAGAAGTATATAACGAGGCATTAATAATGATTGAGGATATTTGTATTCTTATTTCGAACATGCCGCTCATAAATTTTGGCATGCCAGCGCAAATCCGCCAAGCAGCAGATATCATCAACAGCGACGTTCAACGTGAACACCAGTTCGATATGACTTCTCTGGCTACTTTTGTTGCTAACAATGATCGATTGCTTACTGCTGAGCAACGAAATATATATGATCAAATTAACGTGTCAATTGCAGCACAACAAGGTGGATTTTTTTTCTGGATGCACCAGGTGGCACTGGTAAAACATTCCTCATCTCACTAATACTTGCGCTCATTCGATCTCAAAATCATATTGCATTGGCAATTGCTTCATCAGGCATTGCAGCAACCTTACTTGATGGTGGACGGACAGCGCATTCAGTACTTAGATTACCTTTGAATATTCATACCAATCCCGAAGCAATGTGTAACATAAAGCATTCAGGCATGGCTGAAGTTTTGAGAAAATGTAAAATTATTATCTGGGATGAATGTACAATGGCCCACAAGCATTCGCTTGAAGCTCTCGACAGATCCCTGAAAGATATCAAAGATAATACTCGGCTTTTTGGTGGTGCTCTACTGCTGCTGTCAGGTGATTTCAGACAAATATTACCCATCATTCCACGTGCGACATATGCGGGCGAAATAAACGCATGTTTGAAAGAATCTTATCTGTGGCGAAGTATCAGTAAATTATGCCTTACTCTTAATATGAGTGTTCAACTTCAAAATGATCCATTAGCGTCAAGATTCTCCGAACAACTGTTAGACATTGGCAATGGTAAAATTCAATTGTATGAAGATACACAATATATTCGACTCCCACAGACTTTTTGCAACATGGTGTCTATCAAAGAGGAGTTAATAAAAAGTATCTTTCCAGATTTGCCACATAATTATGCTAATCATGCATGGCTACGTGAGCGAGCTATTTTAGCAGCAAAAAATTTAGATGTTGACGCAATCAATTTTAAAGTACAACAATCATTGCCTGGTAGTGAAATTTCATTCAAATCGATTGACACTGTTACTGATCCTGATGAAGTTGTCAACTATCCTGTCGAGTTTTTAAATTCGCGATCGCAACGAACTATAGGGGGCGTTGTTGTATGAGACGGATANTTCACCTATAATTTTGCTTAGAAATTTGAATGCTCCGAAATTGTGTAATGGCACGCGACTGGTCATAAAAAAAATCATGGGTAACATTTTGGAAGCCGCTATTTTAAGTGGAAAATTTCAAGGTGAAGTTGTACTTCTACCGCGGATCCCAATGATTCCTTCAGATCCGCCTATACCATTCAAACGTTTGCAATTTGCAATCCGCTTAGCATTTGCTATGAGTATTAATAAGTCACAAGATCAAACAATGACAATTTGTGGCTTAGATTTAGAAAACCCGTGCTTTTCTCACGGTCAATTATATGTTGCGTGTTCCAGAGTTGGAAAACCCTCGAATTTGTTTGTGTATGCTCCTGAAGGATTAACCAAAAATATTGTACATCTAATGGCATTACGATAACTTAAGTTTTTTTTAATTGAAAAAATATATCTGTTATATAGACAGATAGATAGATACAGGGTGATTATAGAGTCCCGGACCCATTATGTTTAATAACTCATAAAATAATAAAGATAGATAAAAATTAATAACATAAATGGTTAGATAGACTCAAAAAGTTTCATGACCCTTGTCAATGAACTCCCACGTGTGACCCCTTCGTCTCACGGAGAATATCAAGTCGATAGTCAAGTTCACACCAGGTAGAGGCAATCATGTCGGCATCCACAGAGGCTATTGCTGTTGTAATTCTGGCTTTCAGGTCATCAATAATCGACACGATCCTCCTGTAAACATTGTCCTTTATAAATCCCCAAAGAAAAAAGTCCAGCGGCGTTATATCAGGTGATCTAGGTGGCCAAGGAATTGGAGCTCTTCGCCTATTCCATCTTCCTGGAAAATGATCATTCGTAGTTCTTTGAATGACCATTGACAAGGGTAATGAAACTTTTTGAGTTTATCTAACCATTTATGTTATGAATTTTAATCTATCTTTATTATTTTATGAGTTATTAAAAATCAAAATGGGTCCGGGACTTTATAAACATCCTGTATATATCTTTATGTATAAGAAGAGAATGGAATGATAACACATAGCCAATCACAGAAGACTTCTGGTTAGTAACGCACAAAACAGCGAATCAAAATTGAGAACGCATGTGTGTGAAAGGTGATAATTTTGAATAATGCTGTCAAAAAATACAAAATACAAACTGACTTCAAATAAAACTTAGAGGACTTCGAATCAAATAATTAAGAAAACTCTACTATTGCGTTTATAAAGAGGAAGATTTTTAATTCAACAACAAAATTATAGCATCGCCATTCCAAAAAAAAAAAAAAAACCTCACATAAAAAATGTTAAATGTTAAAGCTATAAAAAGATCAAACGATTATTTATGCGAATGATTATATATGATTATTATGAACTAAGCTTTATGCAAACGATTGTTTATGACGTCATTAGATAAAAATTTCATTAACGTAATTTTATCCAGTGTTTATTAATAATTTTAAGTGGCAATGTAAAAAGATAGTTGTTCTAAAGTTTTATAATAAAATGTTTGTTTTGATAGAAAGCAGTTATTTATTTTATAATTCCAATATATTTTTATAGCTTTGATAAATCGGATAGAGTTATTGGAAGCACGAATCAACACTCTCTCAGAAAAATATTTACATACCAAATTGTCAAAATATATTGAACAGAGTTTACTTTAAAATACTTATATCTTTTATAAAGAATGGATCACCGTGAATATCTTAGGCGATATAAACAGCGACATAGAACATAATTTAGCAGCACAAAATTACCGGGAAAATAATCGTAGTGCTATCAATACGAGGCAGCGGAATGCGCGGCGAAGAAACGTTGAAGAGTCAAGATGTTTAAATGAAAACGAATAATATGGAAAAGAAATTGATAAAAAATGTTGTATATAAGGAGGTTTTAATTTTATCATTGTTTTTACTTACTTTCAAGAAATCGTTCAGCCAGAATTAATTAACAGTTCATTTATGTTTGAGATATTTCTTAAATAATGCATAAAAGTGCAAATCATTGGTACACAAAATGATGTGAAAAGAAAAATTTATGAAAAATGTACATAGCTAGGTTTTGTGAATATTCAGAGATCTATTGTAAATAATTTTTAATTTTTTATTTTCACCTTATTATTTATAACATATCAGACAAAAATGTTTATTGATCATTTATAACATAATTATTTCATTTCATATTCGTTTTTTTATTAGTATTCACAGTACGAGAAAAAAATTAAATTGCTTAATTTAATTTGTCGAATTTAGTTACATATGTTTTTATTATATAATTTACTTTTTGTCTGTTTGAAACTAAAATATTTTGTCAGTTGACAGTATTGAAGTTAATTAGGCAATTACTTGCAATGGTATTTGCTTTTGAAATATTACTCAGCATAAACTTATTAATATTACATGTTTTAATTTGTTTGCCATATTCAAAGTTCTTTTTTCATTAGGCATTAATTTTTTTCTGATTAAAATTTAAATTACTGAGGGGGATGAAGCACCTTATAGGGAGCTTCCGGCATCCTATAAGATCATCAATGATTTGAGTTTGGCTCTGCCACGCGTGCTTCGGATACAGAGATTAATCTCCGGCTAATGCCCCATAGTAATGTGTTAAATAATATTGCTTCTTATATTGCTTTATATAAGTTTATAATGCTGATAATAAGCACCTCTGAGATTTTACAATCCTATCATATTCTCTCTATGTGATGTTGGTGTAGAAAAATTGCCTGCTAATCTCCAGGAAAACGACTTTAATTTTGTTCGCGAAGCAAACAAAAACGTAATTGCGTAGCAATTATCGGGGGTTGGCGAGCGGTAGCGAGTAGGGGGCGGAGCCCTCTAGNATTAAATATATATATATATATATATATATGATCAGGTAAAAAGAATGTCCAGCTCTATCTTGGTAAGGCTTTCAATTTGACCAAACAATCATTTTTTAACATTGGCAATATTAACCTCGGCCCTGGACTTTGTAGATTCCATTAACTCCATTGACTGGGAAGCAAAGTTATTAGTAGAATTTAAGTTGAACTTACCGATGCTAAATCGTAATGAAGAACGGAACTCAGATAAGTGGGAATCTCAGACAACATAATGAGGAATCCAAAGTTGTGACCCGTGTGAGAAATAAGAACAGCCCAAGCAGGTAGAGATGTCAACATTTTCTTCCATGGAACCGTACTAGTCTAGCGAATCAAAAATTAGATTAGTTTAAATTTCTGACATTGCTATAAAAATCTGAAAATTCTTAAATGCCAAAAGTCTCTGCTAAATGTCGAAATTTGCACTTTGGTGAATGTCCGAGCATGGTGAATGCGTTCGGTAATTGTTTCATTCGGTACATAGCTTTTGAAATTCGAAATATGTGACATTCTAAAGTGCGTAACCAAATTCCCATTGTCACTTTGGTAACTCTCCGAATTGTTACAGCTGATTTTAATTGATTCCATATTTTGTGGGGCTATTTATGATTCCCATTAAGTATGTGTGATTCTTTTAATGTATGATTCTTGGTTTAATAATTTCGGTTGATAAAGTTTTACCATTGCTTCAAAATAATTCATTGACTTAGATGATACGCTATTTTATTACAGATAGGCAGAGTTGAGCCTTTTAAAATTTACCGAAAATCTGGCAATTTTCGTTTGCAGTTGTGTACCGCTCTTTTTAAAATTTGTTGTCGAATCCGGAACAGTTGGCATCTCTGACTAGAGCTTTTTTTCTCAGCTATCTAATTCGAGTTTCTGGTTGCAGATTTTACAGAATGAATCAGCAGAATTTGTATGCATCCTGAACTTAACCTGACAGAGTTATAATATTTTTTTAAGCGATAATATTTTTTTAAATTTAATACTTTTTCGTGTTTTCTTATTTGGACCTTTTCCGCATTCAGTGTCAAGGTGTGCCCGGTCGCTGGTTAAGGCTGAGGGCTTTGATGGTCGCTCCTAAAGGTTTTCTTCAATACAAAATCTATGGAAAAAAATTACGTGCGTCCTTAAGGTGGACGTAAATAACGGTGATTGACACATAGAGGTGGTCTTTTCTGGAGGTTTCACTGTATATTCTTATATGATAAAGCAATTCATTCACTGTTTGCTTATATATTATTTTTCTTTTCAATGAACGAATTTAAAAATCGAAGAACTGGAAACTCTATTTATTTAAAAAGGCACACCAGCTGGTCGCCGAAGGCAGCTAGTTAATTATAATTCAAATTTCGTGGGAAATTCCTGCGTTGTCCATTACATTAAAGAGGCTTTCAGCTCTAACAGATGATAGAACTGCGTTGCACTATTTAAATAGTTCGTAAATCTACAGAACCACCGGTTTTAATCTGATTTTTTTATCACGATTATAATAAGAATAATTATAAAAACTTTAGAAATTATCTAAGTTGTAGGATTTATTATTAGCTTTTACATGCTTGTTTAAAATTAGCATTAAAGCTTCGTATTAGAATCTGTAATTGAGGGATATTGAATTTTTCCATTGCTTATGTTAAAAAATTATATTAAAAAATGTCTACTTATTTAAACATTAATATACTACAATTAAAAATAAATTTATAATAAATTAAGATAAATTTAATGCATAAAATAAAAGTAACTGATACCTTTTGTGATTGATCTTCTGTGTTGAGCTGTATGCATAAAAGTTCACCTTTTGAGATGCTTGGGTGAATATCTGGTGTTTCATAAATGAGAAAACTCCAAAAGAAAAACCATATGCAAGAGATCACTCCTGAAATAAGAAAATAATTAGATGTCACTTATTCATGAGTCTCATGCAAAAGATAAACTCAACTCGGGCAAGTCTCTGACAAAAAATAAACTCAACCAAAAATATCATATAAAAAAAATCTCTTTCAAAACAAAGTAAATTTTAAATTTTAAATCTTCACACCCGAAATAGGTCAAATCAAGTATTTGTATAAATGCAACAAAAAACTTGTTCTCCAGAGTTAGTTATGAGCAGTGGTCAAAACTATTTGTAATCAAATTGATAAAATAAGGGATCAATAATTAAAACATAAAGTCTCTTTTGAAAAATTAATCTCTCATAAAAGTGAGAAAAGTTGTATTTATTGGTTAATATTTGACATTTTATTAAAAATGGAATTGGAAATTAAAAATTGGCTAAGATTTATTATTTTTTCAAATGAAATTGGAAACTATGAATTCCTTATATTGCTTAAGAATGAATTGGTTAATTATGAATTAAATTGGTTAAGTTTTCAATTTTTCAAATGAATGTCTGAATTAAAAACAGTTATTTTACCAAATACATAGAAAACAGACGGCCATCCTCCAAGAAAATCTGTACCGCATAGCAGTCCAGCAACCGGCATAGCAACAACCGTTCCTAATAAGACACCTAAAAATATGATGGTTGATACTCTGCTCCTCTCCGTCTTTGGTGACCAAATACCAATTGCGAAATTTATAGCTGGTAGTGTCACGCCCTTAAAATAAAGTCAAGTTGCAATTAATTAATCCTTAATTGTAGTAATGATTAGCAAAGGACAAAAAAACTTATTTTCTGTATGTAATGCTATGACACTCTGAATCGTCCCAAAAAAATAATCCTTATCCTTTGTGCTACGGAGATTAAAGCAAAACAACAACATAAATAAAGCACAAATAAAGTACAGAAATAGACAAACTATATTTTCGGTTCTCTAAGCAAAAACCTTCCTCAGTGTCAGAGCATTTAACCGTCATATATTTAGGACAGTTCCTATTTTCAAAGACATTCATTGTGTTGGGAAACTTTTTTCAGAATTTTCATTTATCTGGGTGAACTAAAAGATTCTCAGATACCACAATGATTTAGTTATTTCTGATTAGATCTAGAACTAAAAGGAGCAAGTACTTTTTGATCTATCAAAGACTTTTTGAATGCCCTAACAGTAGAAAAACCAATTAATCTCGTTAGTGTATTATACCACCTTTTCCATAAAACCACTTCTTGTATCATTTCAATATATAAAGTCGGGACAAAACGGGCTAAATAGCAGTCACTTTTCTTCTTTTATACTGACACAGAAGAAGATTCTTGTTTAAGAGAACCGAAATTGTATTTTGTCCATTTATGTCCTTTATTCATGTTTTTTTTTCTTTAGTTTATTCTTAATTCAGTTGCTATGCGTAATTTCCATACTTTCATGAAATATTTCGCCATTTTCTTTTTCTTCTTTTTCCGAAAACTCTACAGCCTATTGCAGGCAAATTCTATTTCCATTGTTCCTTCAAAAACATTTTTTTTAATCAAATCGAGATTAAGTACTTATACTTTAATGTTTTCCGCTTTCAATTGCCTGTCCGCTGTTCTATGATAAAAATAAAAGATATTAGTGACAGCGTAGGTCATTTAAAAATGGGTCCACTAGTCGTAGGTTCGCCACTATTGTATCTAATATAATCCTTTAGTTGCTCAATAATTTCATTGCAGAATGTGAAAACGACTATTTACGACGACTATGGTTGAGTATTAGCCATTGAGCTAAGTAGGTATTTTATTTTTTCAGTTCACGTAATTTAAGTTTAAAAAAAATCACACTTTTCCTTTCCAATAATTTATATTTGCTTTAACTATACGGCCGAAACGACTGAGGCTTGTTATAGAATCACCTGGAGCTGCACTGAATGCATCAAACTTGAATTTTGATGGGATAAAGTAAAAACAATGGCAGGTTTCCCACGGTCTGGACATTTTTTTTAAAGTTGCAGCAAAAGTGAGAGAAATGTAGATGATATAAGTATTCATAGACGCAGAAAAATATTAAATTTAGAAGAAATATATATAGGTGCAAAAATTTACTTGGAAGTAATTTCGTATTTCCCAAATGAAAGATAAATTTAAGCATTTTTCGGTAATCTCGAGAAATCTTATCTACCACTTATTTATTTTTTCCAAGTCGTGGGAAACCTGGATGTGTGTAGCAAAGTGTAAGTTAGCTGAAAATCAAAATCAACACATTGCTCTGTAAAATAAATAAATAAGTAAATAAAATAAATGCGAAATGGACTAAGCAGACTTCCTCTTTATTCTCCAACGTATTATAGGAAATAGGTATGAGGTAACGCCCACTTCGATGGCTTTGACTTAGATATATTTTTGTAGCTTCATGAGTGGAGCAAACGCAGATGTGACACCGGGGACTAAAAATGTAAAATGTGGTAGAAACTCGATTCATTTTGTTTATTATCTCTATTTCGGTTATCTCTTTAATTATTCAATCATCACTATGTCTAACATTTCAAATTACTCATATTTAAAGCAAAATTATTAATTGCCGTCACTATCAATAGTAAATTGTCAAAAAAATATGCTGAAAAAAGTACCTAGTTTTAACCTCCTATGATAAAAATCTAAATTTCATTTGTCACTACGTTTTGCATTTTTAGTCGCCCGTAGCAACAGTGAGTAGGTGGAGCATAGGTAGATGGTAACGCCCACATCAATGGCTTTATCTTTAACATAACAAATTACTGATCAAGAGATTCTTAAATTTCCAATATGGTTTTATCATTTGTGTCGAACATCTTTCTTTTGAGAGTAATAATCACAATGGAAAATACCGTGAGTGGGATAGGACTTGAGAGCTCAATCCTCTATTGAGAGTTGAGAACAGGTAATAATCACAATGAAAAACACCGTGAGTGGGATAGGACTTGAGGGCTCAATCCTCTATTGAGAGTTGAAAACAGGTAATAATCACAATGGAAAATACTGTGAGTGGGATAGGACTAGAGGGCTCAATCCTCTATTGAGAGTTGAAAACAGGTAATAATCTCAATGGAAAATACTGTGAGTGGGATAGGACTTGAGGGCTCAATCCTTTATTGAGAGTCGAAAACAGGTAATAATCTCAATGGAAAATACTGTGAGTGGGATAGCACTTGAGGGCTCAATTCTCCATTGAGAGTTGAAAACAGGTAATAATCACAATGGAAAATACTTTGAGTGGGATAAGACTTGAGAGCTCATTCCTCCATTGATAGTTGAAAACAGGTAATAATCACAATGGAAAATACCGTGAGTGGGATAGGACTTGAGAGCTCAATCCTCCATTGAGAGTTGAAAACAGGTAATAATCACAATGGAAAGTACTGTGAGTGGGATAGGGCTTGAAAGCTGAATCCTCTATTGAGAGTTGAAAACAGGTAGTAATCACAATGGAAAATACTGTGAGTGGGATAAAACTTGAGAGCTCAGTCCATTATTGAGACTTGAAAACTGGTATTAGAGTTTCAGATAAACTATCTGGTACCAGTGACTTTAAGCAGGACCAATACGAATGTATAATATCTCCTATATATGAGTTTCGTGAAAAGTGAAGTTCGTAATTTTTTAAACAAATTAAATTTGAAAAAATTTTTACGATCATCGTTACATAAGGGATTCAACGGTCGACTATAAACTGAAGAAGTAGTGCAGTCAAATTATTTATGTTTATTAAATCTAATACATAATTAAATCAAATCAAGTACCATTACTTGCATTACAAAATATTCATATTCAAGAAAAATCAGCAGTGGATTTGCTTTCAATAGCGAACTAAAAGAAATATGTTTGAGCAAGTAGAAACTTTTAATTTCTTTTAAAAAAAATTTCATATTAGCACTTGCACTAATTATTTAATTAGCATATTTAAATTTAACCTATGGAAGGATGAGATTGCATCTCCATACGCAAAAATCGGGTATCTAGGTCACAAGTCATTAAGATGTTCCCTTTTTGCCGATTTATAATTACGCACTAGTATGTACTACTTAGGTAATAAATGCTTTACGGTTAATAATTTCAGTTTCTATTATAAATATTTAAAATAAAAAGATAAGAAAATTACTTCTGAGAATCCTTGAAGTCCGCGCACAATAGTGAAGGCAATTGTTCCCCAACCAGCTGCCACAGGTGATAATAAACAGAAAATTGCAGCAAATAGTACTCCACCACCAAATACCCATTTGGCGCCATATTTTCGAGCCAGAATTCCACCTGGTATCTGGGATATTACATATCCATAATAAAGTGATCCAAGTATAACACCTTGTGTTTGAGTGTCCCAATCATACTTAACACCCTGAAAAACAAGTTAAGACATAAATAAAAATTCCTATATCATCCTAGGCTCTCTAATATAATCGTGTTGGTAAATTTACGATAAAACAGGAGAGAATTTCTTTTCTTTAAGATACCACTTTCAAATGTTTGATGAGACAAATTTTTCTGCGGATGTATTTTATTTGAAAGGTAATGGATATTGGTGATTACAAATATGTTAAATGATCAAAGCTCATCTTCGAATTGCTAATTTTTTTTCGAAATTTTTTTTTGTGAGCATTAATATCAAGGGAATTACGTCCCATGTGCTAGAGAAATATACACTAGATGTGATTTTTATAAGACATTAATTTTATTTATATTATGAGACGCAATACCAGCTGCAAAATTCTATTTACCCTAAAGACATATGAGCAGGAGAAGAAGTAGAAGCAATTTTACAAGCTGCAAAATCGATAAAATTAAAAAAATAATAATAACATTATATGTCCTTTCATCGTTATCATTAAATTTAAGCAGCGTATTCATTTTCTAAAGGTGAATTAAAAGTTAGGAAAAGTAGGACAGTGCGGAAAAAATACGGACAACTCTGAATAACTTTTGATCTAAAAATCGGATCTTCACGTTCAAGGACTCAAACTTAAGGGTCATCAGTGCGGATGACGTTTTAAGTTTCAAAATCAGACACAAAAACGTACATTCTTTGAATAAACATACTTTTTTTTAACGGATTCGGATTTCTGTCCCCCAAAATATAGGGATTAGCCACAATCGAGCAAATATGGTCCCATTGTTTAGAACCATGTTATATATCTATAATCTTTCCCAATTACAATATTCATTAAAAGAAACTGGCTGTCAACATTTTACTGCAAATTCAATATTTACTATAAAAATTAACGGTAGAAGACGCATTAAAATTATGAGTGGAAGATACCTAAATCATAGCTAGGTTTCAAGCTCTAGGAAGCCGTTTACATGCAAGACACTAATTGCGAAGAAGTAGAAAAAATGTCTTTATGAAAATTTTCAATTGCTTTATATATTCAATTATATTCAATTGCTTTGCATGATATATTTATCAAAAGATGTATAATTTTATATTATTAATATATTCTGGTTGAAAGGAATATTAAGCTTCATCAATTGTAATAGCTAAGAATGAAAGATTTGAGTAATTCGTTTTTAACATTTTTTTAAAAAAAATATACAAGNAAGATGTATAATTTTATATTATTAATATATTCTGGTTGAAAGGAATATTAAGCTTCATCAATTGTAATAGCTAAGAATGAAAGATTTGAGTAATTCGTTTTTAACATTTTTTAAAAAAAATACATGTTCCAAAAAAAAGGGGATAGCGCTTAAACGGCTAACAAGCTAATGTACTAACTTCTTTAGCATGCCATCACGTAGGTTGGACAGTTTTGAATAAAATTCTGTATGCAATCTGTTGCACTATGTGACTCCAGCCAAGTCTTGTTTCCTGTCCAAACCTACTTCCAGGGATGCCACAGGTGACGAAAAATGTAGGAAGAGGTAACAACTTGATTCAATTCAGTTTATTTAATTTATTTAATTAGTCAATCGTAACTATTACTATGACATAAATCGTAAATGCCTCGTTTATGACTCTGAAACTTTGCAAGGATCTTTAATTAATGAACTGGATGAAATACGCTAGAAAAGTCACGCATTTTAATCCCTTTTAATGGATTTTTCTTTTTTTTTTAAATCACAACTTTTTAAATTTTGCAGAAAGGTCTGTGTTGGGGTTAGGGAAGTGCCCTTGCATCAGAAAGGTTTTGAGTTCGAATCCCGGGCAAGGCATGGATGTTCTTTCCTTCTCTGTGCTATCTGTCCTTACTGTGGGAGCAGCGTTGGCCCACCTAATAGGGCGCCCCTGAAAGAGTGGCCAACAAATCTGCCCTTCAGGTGTCTGTATCACCTAGATCATTATCCAGATGGGCATTGGAAAAAAAACTTTTTTAAATTTTTAGTCGCCCACGGCATCCCGGAGCTTTACATCTCCCTATTGCTATTTCCTTACTCAAACTAGATCCACATTTTATAATGCTTTAACCACCTTTACACGCGTTTGTTTCTTTATTTCTCTACCTTCATTTGACATTTAAACACGGATGAAGGTTCTTGATTTTAGAACCGAAACTACAGTATGTCAATTTATGTACTTTCATTTGTGATTTATTAAAGTTGTTTTTTGCTTTACTCTAAAGTACTCGTAAATACCCGCAAAATTTCAAAGTCGAGATTTTTGACCTTCCTGTTGCCCTGATCTTACCCCACTCACACATTTGGTTTGCTTGGGAAATTTCATAGCAAATTCTGGAAGAGACATCTCTCTCTCTCTCTCTCTCTATATATATATATATATATAGAG